AGGAGGTGCTTGTCGGCTTATTGATGGGGAGTTACGCTGGGTGGAAGGGTGGACGAGGAGAAGTGGGTGTTGCGTATAGGGAGGATGGTTAGTCGGTATGGGGGGCTCCCTAGCTGGAAGAGGGGCCAGGGGGGGTGGCGTGGGGTGGGAGTTGGGAGATGGGGGTGGGGAGGGAGAAACTGGTGGGGTTGGCGGAGGGGGTGATCAGGTTTGGTAGGCTCAGGCCGAGTGTACCGGTATTAGTCGTGGCTGCTGTCGTCCTCGGCTGCAGTCTTGAGTTCTGCAGTTGGCGGGTACTGGCGGGGGCTATGGCGGCGGCAGATGCGAGTTTCCAGTGTCGCGATCCACCGGCTTTCTCGTGGTGGGGGGGTGTGCGCTGGCTTGGAGACGTGGTTGAGGCACCGGATCGCTTCTTTATAGTCTCTCTCGCCTCTGTCTCTCTCTCTCTCTCTCTCTGTGGTTGACTCTCCGGGTTAGTTAACTGTAGTCTCTCTCTCTCCCTCTCTCTCTCTCTCTCTCTCTCTCTCTCTCTCTCTCTTTGGTAGCTGCTCCGGGAAGTATCCTCTCTCTCTCTCTCTCTCTCTCTCTCTCTCTCTCTCTCTCTCTCTCCGTGGTCGAAGTTCAGGCTTGGTCTCCTGTAGCCCCTCCTTCGGGCGCGTGGGCTGGCCGACGTTCTTCTCGTTGGGGGCTCCTCCGTCGCGCGATGGCGGGTGTGCTGGCTGGAGATGTGGCACGCGGGCGTGGCGCGTACGTTGGGGTGATGGCCCCTTCGGGGGCTCCTTCTTTGCGCTTGGCCGCGCGATGGCGGGTGCGCTGGCTGGTGATGGGGCGCGCGGGCGAGGCGCGCGCGTCGGAACGAGGGTCTCTACATTTCGAATTCGAAACGAGGCGCGGCGAGGGCGGCGTGGGCGCGAGGGCGTGAGCGCTAGCGCTATGGGGTTGCACTAACCGGTGGCGCAGGCGCGATTCTTTTTACTCAGGGAGGTATTGTAGCATTCTAATACGGGCTTCTCTGATGCTTGGTGGGTTGGGCGTGGCAGTTTTGGTTAGGTATCAGTCTTTGTAGAACTCCTTAGCTATGTTCGACATTCCTTTGCTGTCAGTTTTTATTTCAGGTGTGTCTGGCAGAGTTCTCAAACCTTCAATTGAGTTGGCCCTTGAGTTGGCTCTCATTCGCACGAAGAAATGTATGGAAATTGACTCAAATTTGTATTCGCTCAGTCTGGCTCTAATTTGCTGGCCCTTTAGGTCCCACCTAAAAAGAAACAAGTACAGATGCAGGTTTTGAGTTTGCGAAGGCAAAAAAAAACAAGCACCTGCAAAGGTATCACGGCACGAGTTTGAAATGCCAATTTCGGTAGAAAAGGATCCGTTGGGCCTTTTTTTTTTTTTTTTCATTTTCCGTCTTACACCGTGGCCGACCCCTGTAGTTATGACACCCGTGCCTCTGTCACAGCCCCGGTACTTTCATTGCTTTTTCAAACTCAGCGGCTGTTTTCTTTGTGTGAGCATGTTTTTTTCGCGCACGTGAAAAACTCAAAACTGACATCAACGTACTTGCCCTTAAAAAAAAAAAAAAAAAAAAAAAAAAAAAAAGAGGTTTCAGCTTTTTCCATCTTTGCCAAAATAAAGGCGGAACGGGCACAATGAAACAGGAGGCATAACATAAAACAAAGAAACAGACAACTTAGATAAGGGTAGAAACTTACAAAGGGGGCCTCCCTCAGGGCAAGAGAAGTGGAAACTCACAGAATGATCCCACCAGAATCTCGAATTGACTAGTGTTGGGGAAAGCGGCTGCTTCACGGACATAAAACCTTGTCCTGTAGTCATTGAGTCGGGCAGGGTAGCTGTCTTCCACCTTCACCATTTCAGACGAGCAAGTCCCATCTGTGAGGTTTGCAACATAGCAAGAGAACTGTGCAGGTACAAGGCTGCCATTCCGTGCATTCGCAATCGTCCCATTAATGATGTAGAACTTTGGTGTAGAGTCTGCTCCTGCATGATCTGGTTTATAAATGGCCTCATTGCCCTGTAAATTATCCTCACGCCGATAGAAAAACCCAAGCCCGCTCAATGACATGTGTTGAACCCCCAATGCCATGAGCTCCGGACTGTTGCTGAACATGGCCCATCCAGCAGCATGCACCTGCTTGTGATCAGATGCACATTCAAGGACAAAGCAACCCACAGCCATCCGGTACACATGTCAAGCGCAAAACAACCCACAGCCATCCGCAATACTTTTTTCTTAAGTATCTGCTTGTGGTGTTACCCTGGGTGGTAAGAGCAGGCCCATATTCAGCTCCCAAACACCCTCATCAGAATGCACCTGGCCATGCCGAGGCCAAAGCTCACGATCTGCACTGGGACATGCAGATGTCCAGGTACATTCTGACAGAGGTGTGTGTCGGGTTCATAAACAGAATGCCGCCCACATTTGTTTTCTGTTTTCCCTTCCTTTATGCACAGGATGAATTCTTGCATGGAGCTTCATAGCTACCAGTGCCTCCTCTGAGTACAGACAATCTCCATGGACAGGAGGCATATAGCTTTGGTGATTAAACCACCAATACTTGACCCTGAAACGGTTTTCACCTTTTAGCAGTAGCAGATGCAGTGCCCAGGGCTCGATCCCTAGACCTCACCCTACCCATGTACAGTATCTGTGTAGACCCCGAGAGTTGAACCTGTGACCTGTGTATTCGTAGACAGTGGGTAGGTCTGTCGTAGGTCCATAAGCAGCAGGGGTTCGATCTGTAGGTCTATAGGGTAGAAGTCTTAGCAAGTTCCAGAAGTCTAGCTGTAGTCCTTCTAGAAGGTAAGTGGGCAAGTGGTCAAGTGGCGAGGCAAGTGGTGGACTAAACTGCAGTGCAATTGCAGTACGACCTCGGTAGGGTAGCAGTGAGTCCACAGTCAGTCAGCAGTAAGGTCCAGTCAGTCCCAGTTCGGACAGCAAGTACCACGGGGGACTGTGAGCACCATGGGCCGATGGCAAAGGGCAGACCAAAGAGTTTCCGAAGTATAAATCAAGAGGCAGCGCCCAGCCTTGGATTCATTCCAGCGTGAGCCATGCGGAAGCGCTGCCACAGCGACTTGTGCAAGGAGATCTGCAGTAAGCCCGGAGGACGCAGTGGGCGAGAGAGGAGGAGTTAGCATAGCGATAGGGTAGAGGCAGCCATAGCTGCCATAGCCGTAGTTCGTGTGAAGTGTGTGTGTGTAAGTGCGAGTGTTCAGAGTTATGCGTGTGGGATATCCAGGGTGATATGGCGTGTGTGAACAGTGAGTTGTTTGGGCGCTGAGTCGCCATAGCCAGTTGGAAGTGAACTCGTATCTGGAAGCCATATCTCTGAGTTTTGAGTGGGCGCTTGTCGCCAGTTTGCTGCGTTGCTGTTTACATGCATGAAAAGTGTAAATGAGTACGAGTCTGATTGCAACCCGGATATTGGCCACGGGTCTTTGTCGTATGCGAGCCGCAATTTTCGGGGCCTTCGCGGCTGATGATGATTTTCATCAACGGCCCGAGACAGTTCGTTTTTCGGCGCAGACGGCGCCCCAGGGTCAGAGAAAAGTGCCTCAGAAGTACTGGTGGTTTAAGACTCTATTGGTTCATGAATGGTACTCTTTTTTTTATTTTTTATTTTCATAAATGGTACCCTATCAATGGTGACAACAAAGTCAGGGACAGCCACATATAGGGCATACTCACGCTAGTACTTTCTCAAAATGTATAGGACTGCAATTACAGACACACCTGGATGAATCTGACCTTGATGGCGTCAAGAGCTTAGTAAAAGATGTCGTAGTGCCAGTATGCAGCCCCAAGCTATACGAAGTATGCCATGAAAGAGTCTCACCTTGCGGCTTGCTGTAATGTCATCTCCTGGCACAAGAACATCAGATTGCAGAAAACTTATGAATGTCCTCAATATGCGAACCTTGGTATCAAGCGAATTTCTAAGATCATCTGTCGACCGTCGGATGAGCTCTCTTTGATAGCTATGGGCAAGTCTTGCCACTGTGTCTGAACTGCTCTTGTTAGTGACATACCAAGTAATGACAGTCATAGTTCCAATGAGAGCTGCAAGGACCAGCTGCAGAGAACCAACAATTACGGCCACAACGCCAAGAATACACCACACCATTAGAAAGAATGATAAGTCAGATAAGGGGCAAAAGCACTTTTATTTCTTTTTTCTTAAACCTCCAGTGCCCACTTGAAAAACAAATAAGCGTTGGTTAACATGGGCAACTTTCAACGGTTTGGTACTGACCAAAATGACTGGCGGCGCCAGACAAAATGAGGCCCGCGCTGGTTCACTTTTTTCTGTGCAGGGCAATTTTGAGGGCTACACATTGAAAGCTGAGAAAGGTACTGGTGGTTTATTAAATGACAGGCAGCAAGAGGAGGCAAGTTTGCTTTGTCCGGCGGGTCGGCATAGATATAGACATAGTACTGTGGGAATATATTGTCAAGATATCTATGTCAAGATACCAATATCTATGTCTAGAAATGTCTAGAATCTATGAGCAAGATATTGACCGGTCGGCGGGTCGGCAGCCGACCAGTCAGGGGTCGCCGACGGTCGGCGTGTGCAACACTGGTGGTAATGCTATTTACAATTACAATTTAGCGATCGAGTCAGGGGCAATCAGATTGCAGATGTTATCTCTATACAACTAAAAGATACAAAGGGCCCGATGACACGCTCGGTCGCGGGCCCAAGGAAAACCCGTGGAGGGGCGGAACTGGGCAGGCGAACCGGCGCAGGGGCGAGTCCCAGGCGGAGGCGGGTACCGACGGCCGAAGCGGTGGCACGAGGGATGCGGGCAGGCGAACCGGCGCNCAGGGGCGAGTCCCAGGCGGAGGCGGGTACCGACGGCCGAAGCGGTGGCACGAGGGATGCGGGCAGGCGAACCGGCGCAGGGGCGAGTCCCAGGCTGAGGCGGGTACCGACGGCCGAAGCGGTGGCACGAGGGATGCGGGGTCGAGGGGGCGGAGGTCAAGGGAAAGCCGCGGAGGGGGGCGGAGGCTCAGGCCGACGCGCGCACGAGAGATGCAGGGTTGACGGGGTGGAGGCCAACGGAAAGTTGCCCAGAGGCGGAAACCGGAAAGCGTCGCGCAGGCCGACGCGCAAACGAGCGGCGGTGTAGGGGCGTGGGACGACCGAACCGCGGGCAGTGGGAACGGAGAGAGAGAGAGAGAGAGAGAGAGAGAGAGAGAGAGAGAGAGAGAGAGAGAGA